GGAGGGAGGGAGGGGGAGGGGTGTTGGCTAAAGGTGGCTGCTTCTAGCCACCAAAGTGGCTCAAATCAATATATGCAAAGTCCTCATCGTGCTCACAGCTCTGGGCTGCCCCAGTGGCGGGATGTCCCCCTGCACACACACCACACACACACACACACACACGTGAGCAGGTCATTTCCTCCTCCCTGCCCCCGTTTCCCCCGCTCGCTCACCATGAGCAAATCTCCTCTGTCTGTTCGGGCGACTCGTAGAGCGACCACGCCCTCGGCCAGTTGGTCAGGCACAGCTCGCTGATGACAAATCGGTTCCCGGCGCCGCCTGCGTGGGACGGCGACCCGCAGGGGGACGCCTGCTGCGGCTGGTGCTGCTGGTGGTGGGGGGTGTGCTGGTGGGGCGACGGCCGCTTGCACTTGACGGATCGGCGGCGGGGCTTGTGGGCGTTGGTGCTATCCGCGCTCTGATGACATGAGATGGGATGGATGGACGGATGATTGGCTGCTGTGTCCTGTGTGTGGCTGACCTGTCTCATGAAGAGGAGGAGGTACGCACTGTGCTGCTTGACTTGGTTGGGGATGTCCCGCAGCTGGTCCCACGAACACACCGCAGCGCTCGACATCGCCAACGGATTCGCATCGACGTCAGGGATGCCTGAACACAACCAAGCCACATAGCGGTGACGCATAAATCCCCCCCCACCCACACACACCCACCGACTCACTCACCGAGGTGCAGGAGTGTCTCCTTGGTGGCCTTGTCGGCCTCCTTCAACAAATTGGCCCTCGTCCTGAACTTGAGCGTCACGCTGCCCCACTTCTGCAGTGCACCGTCGCCCTTCCACGCCGCCTCCCCGACGCCATTGGGACTCATCCCGCGACGCCCCTCCCTCTCGGCGTGCATCGTAGGCGCCTTCAGGGGCCGGTTGTGCACACAGGGGTAGAAGAAGCGGCAGTCGTTCATGCGCGCGAAGTGGCGGAGGGACGGCGAGACGGCCGAGAGGTTGACGATGGCGGCCGTGTCGAGGTATGAGATGAGGGAGTGGAGGAGGTCCAGGGGGAGGGGCGGGCACTGGGGGGGCGAGATGGAGGCCTGCTTGGCCAGGGTGGGGTTGACGGTCGCCATGAGGGCGCTCTTGAGGCCCTTGAACGGCTCGTAGTTGACCAACAAACGCTCTAAGGCAGCCTGATTGATTGACCGATGAACCGACACACACAGACGAAGGACGCCTCCACTGGTGCCATCAATGGGTGTGTCGCATTGCAGCGAGTGCATCGTTGTCTCACTCACCTCGACGGGCTCGTCCTTCCCCAACACGATCTCCTTCCCTGCAGCCATAACACACACACCCCACCGTATGCTTGTTTGTCTACTCCTCCCAGTCAGTGTGTTGTCCCCTCCCTCCCTCCCTCCCTCACCCTTAAGCTCTTCCAGTTCCAGGTACCTGACGCTGCCGGCCGCCATCTCCATGAATGTGCCCTTCCCGCTCGCCGCGGACACAGGCGTGACAGTGCGGCAGACCCGCCGCCGGCCGGTGAGTGAGGGGGGCGGCACGATGCCCAGGCCGGGCGTGAGGCCGCGCTGTTCTCGCGTCGACGACCAGGTGGCTTCGGAGGGGCGCGATGACAGCATGGTCATGGTCCTCAACCAAACACGTGCACGTGTGTAGTACGTCGCTCCGCTGCTGGCGATTTGTAGCTCTCGCGTGGTGAACACAGCGTATCGTATCGGCGGTTGGGTGGCGAAGGACAGGGAGAGGTGAGGATGGCAACGGACCTTTTCTCGGCGAGACTGCGCGCTATTCTCTACAAGCTCGCAAGAGGGGGAGAGAAGAGAGAGAGATAATCTTGCCACAGCGTCGTGCGTAGCGCCTTCCCCGTTGCTCGCTGATCGTATCTACCCATCAGTTATCGAAATCGCCGCCTGATCATCCATTCGATGGAGGACGCCAAGCTCAAGGAGCTGCAGGAGCTCAAGAAGCAGCGGCAGAAGGAGCTCGCCGAGAAGAAGAAGCTCCTCGACGACCTCAAGAAGAAACAGCAGGACAAACTCAGACAGAATGCAGGAAAGGGCGACAAACACGCGGCCACGGCGCCGATGGACGAGCTGCTCGAGGAGATCCTCTCGGCCCCGCCGGTGTTCAAGAAGGACGAGGCGGCCGCCCTTGCGGCACCTGCCAAGGGGGACAAGGGGGCGGGCAAGGCCGGTACTGGCGCGGGCGGGGCGGCGGGCAAAGGCGGCGTCAGGCTGGGCAGGTCGCCCAACGTCGCCGAAGTGCACATACAGCCAAAGGTAACCATTCGCACACATCACACGCACACACACACACACATACACACACACATCCCGCCATGTGTGTGTGTGTGTAGGTAGTGGATGCGTACGAGAAGGCCACGCAGGCTGACATAGAGGGGGACCACCACCCGCGGGTGCGCGAGGGCGGGGAGGAGGAGGGCGAGGGCGAGGGACTCGACGACCTCAAACCCCCCACACACGGCGGACACGCACCCCCGCCAAAGGGCCGCGAACGCAGGAGCTCCGTCGTGTCGGTCAGCCAGTGATTTACCCAACCACCCCATTCCCCAACACACGCACACACACACGAGATGGTGTTGCTGTGTGTGATGTGTGTGTTTGCAGGCGCAGAAGTTCCGTGAGGCTCACGCCAAGGCTGGTGACAAGCACGTGCACCCCCACCCGCCGCCGTCTGGCGAGGGGGAGGAGGGCGAGGGCGACCACGCCAAAAAGGAAATCGAGAAACACGGTAAGTCTGCCGTCAGACAGACAGACAGACAGACAGTTGGTTGCGTCGCAGAGTTGCCCGATGAGGACCGTCAGAAGATCCTGACCAGCACTGACTTCGCGGACTTCTTCAACAAGACGTCTAGACTGGTCAGGGAGAGGGAGAGGGAGAGAGGCACTCACTCAACCGACACGTTCGCAATACGGGTGTGTGTGTGTGTGTCACAACCAACAGGTAGAGCGTGCGCTGGGTGCTCAGTTTGACATCTTAGTGGACTACTCAGGCGTCGCTGCAGAGGAGGGCAACGAGTGAGTCAGCTACCAAACCAAACCAGACCCAGCCACACACACAACGCTCAACCTGCTGTCGTCATATGTATGGTTGTGCGTGTGTATGGCTGGTCCGACTGGTCAGCATGGAGGGTGTGGAGAAGGTGAAGCGTCACGAGACCTACCGGGACGACAAGTGGACGCAGGGCAGGTGCGTCACCTCCGTCTGCAACTCGCCTAAGGTCAGTCAGTACGGTGGTGGCAACCACACGCACACACACCCTAACACACGCCCATCTCTCTCCCTCTCTCTCTCTCTGTGTGTGTGTGTGTGTGTGTGCAGTTCCCCGAGTTGTTTATGGCGTCCTACGGGCAGCGTGAGAACGCCGCACCCACAGACCCCGACGGATGTGTCCTGGTACACACACATGGACACACAGACAGACACACGCACACACGAACGAACCAACTTACTTTGCCCCATGTCACGGACACTTTGCACATGTGTTTTGTTTTGTGGAGGTATGGAGTTTGCCCATGACTCAGCGGCCGGAATACGTCTTCACCTGCCAGGTCACACACGCACAGAGAGAGAGAGAGAGAGAGCGATGACGGCATGTGTGTCCCCATGTGTGTTGTGTGTGTGTTGCACACAGAGTGCTGTGTTGACGGCGTGTTTCGACAAGTTCCAGCCCCACCTGGTGATCGGCGGCACCTACTCGGGCAGTATCGTCCTCTGGGACACACGCGCAAAGGTAAAGGAGTTAGCACCACCCACCACACCATCTGTCCATCTGTCCATCTGTGTGTCTGTGTGTCTCTCTCTGTGTGGTCAGGCTGGGCCCATTCATCGCACGCCCCTGTCCTCCAGGGGCCACGCACACCCGGTCGGTCACTGAGGGAGGGAGGGACGGAGCGAGGGAAGGAGGGGCAACGGTCATTCCGTCCGTCCGTCGTTGCGTGCTGCTTTTGTCACATTGCCTGCAGGTGTACTCGATGGCGTTGGTCGGCACCCAGAATGCTCACAACCTCATTAGCGTCTCCACAGGTGCGTGGGAGAGATGATGTGATGTGTGGGCTCATCTCTCGCCGTCCGCTTATCTATATCTCTCTCTCTGTGTGTGTGTGTGTGGCTGACCGTCATGGCAGATGGCCGTCTGTGCGTGTGGTCCCTGGGCATGCTCGTCCACCCACAGGCACACACACCCCCACTCACACCCATTCATCGCCCAACCATCCCTGGGTGTTGCGCGCGCGCGCGTGTGTGTGTGTGTGCAGGAGTTTATCGATTTCAAGAAGGGCAACCGTGACGTGTCGGTGACCTGCATGGCCTTCGAGGAGGGAGAGACCAACGTACTCATGGCAGGTCAGACCCTCACACACAGGCACACCGCACCGACAAACACACACCTGATGCTGGGCGTGTGTTTGTGTGTGTGTGTGATGGTGTCTGCAGGTGCTGAGGACGGCAGCATAGTGCAGGCACACATACACGGCACGTACGTGACACACATACACACACACACACACAGAGAGAGAGAGAGAGAGATCCGTCAATCCCTCCCCATGGGCGTGGCCATCTATGTGTGCAGCAAGGTAGGTGTGACTGAGGCGTTTGAGGGCCACGACGGGCCCATTACGGGGGTCGACTACCACCCCATCGGAGAGGCCGCATCGCACGGAGCCGACTTCTCGGGTCAGTCGCCAAGACACAAAAGAACGAGACACAGATGGCTGGATGGCGTCTGTGTGTCAGATTTGTTGTTGTCGACATCGTTTGACTGGACGATTCGCCTGTGGAGCCCCAAGCACCACTCGCAGTGCCTGCACTCGTTCGAGGTGTCCGAGGACTACGTATACGACGCTAAATGGTACGGCACGCCCTGACGCACACACACATGGATGGATGGATGTGTGTGTGTGGTGGCTGCAGGCACCCACACCACCCTGCAGTGTTTGCTTCGGTTGACGGTGAGGGCAACCTCGACGTGTGGGACCTCAACAAAGACCTAGAGGTAGGTCAGGGGGTATCCATCACGTCAATCCACACCACAGGCATGGTCACCTGAAGCGCGCGCGCGCGTGTGTGCGTGCGTGTGTAGTCTCCCCATGTACGGGTCAACTCTGGGGAGTCCGCCATGAACCACCTCTGCTGGTCACCGGACGGTCAGTCAGAACACACACCCACACACAGGCCATTAATTAGTTGACACGCCTTCGTTGTGTGGCGTCACGTCACATCAGGCCGTCGTTTAGTGAGCGGCACGTCGGAGGGCATCATCGCCGTATGGAACGTAGACAAGGAGGTCAGTCAGTCCAGCGAGAGAGACAACAACACACATGGATGGCCATATGGTTGATAGCCATCCATGCCACCCATGCCGTGTGTCGTGTCAGTTGACGACCCCCAAGCCGGAGGACTGGGCGCGGCTGGAGGAGCAAATCATGGACCTCAAACCGTAAGGAACGGACACGCCACCATACGCACCGACACAGACACTCTCCAATGTGCGGTTTGTTGTGGTGTCGTTCGGTTGCAGTGCGGACGCCGGCGCGGGCACGGTTGGCACCGGGTGAGTGAGCGGAGGACACAGAGGGGAAGGAAATCTATCAATCCTCTCATGGGATGTCGTGTGCTGTGGTTTGCTGTGTTGTGTTGTGTTGTCAGAGTGGGTGTGGGTGCGCCTGTGGGCGGCAAGCTGGCCATAGATAGCAAGGCCAAGGACATTCTTGGCGAGAAGTGAAATGAATGATGGTCGATCCGTCGTCCACGATCCACCAACCAACCACACACACACAAAGGGATGGGTAGCTGGACGGCTGGCTGCAGTGGGTTGATCGATCAACGATGCACCCACCTGTTTGGGCGGCATGGTGGCGAGGAAGGAAGGCCATA